CTCATTCTCTCTCTCTCAAATAAATAAATAAAATCTTTTAAAAAATAAAATAAAATAAATTAAAAAAAGAAAAAGGAAAAGAAATAAAAGGCTCAAAATGGAGTCACTTGCCCCCACAACAGCAACCAAAACATAATTGCATTGCAGGAATGTGGCCTCACACTGGAATTTCCTGATCAGCACTACTGAGGTCTTCTGCAAGATAGACCCTAGCCCTTCCCTCAAAAGGTGACCTTGCCTACACCAATCCTTTCTTTTCTTTTGCTAATGACTTCCATCCCTCCTTCCAACCCTGTTTCTGCTTTAAAAACCATCCATTTTGTATGGCAACTTGGTGCTCCTTTCTACTTGTAGATGGGATACTGCCTGATTCATGAATCCCTGAATAAAGCCAATTAGATCTTCATATTTACTTGCTTGGATTTTGTTTTTTACAGCTGCAATTAAAGTAGTAATTACTTCCAGTTTAATTTATAGTAGGCTGTGCAATTTTTAATGAAACAGTTTTCATTTTAGCATAATTTCTGGCAATTCAGTGATGTAAATATCACATCAATGTTAAACTTTATTTTGCTTGATATTGCTCACTTACCTCACATCAGATCCTTTGATAGATTCAGTGAGTGGTGCTACTTTTAGTTTCCTTAATGCCCCACTCATAATTTCGCAGATGAAATGACTATGACACATTCTTACATAACCATCTGAAGCTCAGGGAACTCAAAAAGAAAACAAATGGCCTTTTAAGTGTGCAAGCGCTGAACTCTAAGTCATAATGAGACTCCACACATTATCCAGAAACCCAAAGCATACCAAAGAGCCAAAGTCAATGGAGACATTCTTTGGAAAGGGGAAGTCACAAACGCCTCTCTGGCACATTCATAAACTTGTTGTCTTAACATTGGTGCGTGTGCTGTCATGTTATTTGAAAGCTGATGTGTTTGGGCTGGGAGTGATGTGGGGGCAGGGGTGGAGAGGGCTGACTCTGAGATGGTGAAGAGCGGCGTTAGGAACTCTGGAAGAACTGGGAACTGATGGACATTTTGCACAGAGACAATTTCTGACCAAGTCTTTCCAGTGATTTGTAGCTTGTACTCAACTATCCATAAGACACTATTTCCAGGACATTATTTTAAATTGATACAGTCTCTTCATTTACAAAATTCATTTATTGCATACTCTTTGTTTAATAGCTGGGAGTCAGAGTGGTAAAGATTTGATTTACCCAAGTGAAAAAAAAAAAAAAAGACTAATATCATTTTGAAGTGCCATTTCCAAAGAATATGCCAATGTTTCAAAGTTAGTGTTTGTGACTTTTAGTTTCGATACAAACATCCTACTCCAAGTGACAAATGACTACATTAAACTCGGGCAATGACCATCACGTAACTGCTTGTGACAGGCATGCTGGCATCTGGGCATCAGGGGCTGACACGCACCAAAGAGGTGATTTTATGACAACCTGCCTTTCCAGAAATACAAAGGCTCTTAATTCCTCAGGTGCTCCTTGTGACAGAGAGGTTGAAAAGAATCCTTTTCTCAAGTTAGTTTCTACATGGAAGAGGAGAATGTCTTAAGGATATCCTGAAATTTAGAAACAAAACTCTTTGTCAAGACGTCTGTGTACTCTGCAAAGTTGGCAGACGTGTGGCTGTCAATATTTTGAGAGAGAGATGCTTTAGAGATAGGGGATAATTGACCAAGTGAGGATGTTTCAGAACTTATTTTTCCCAAGAAAGGCAAAAAGTATGAAAATCAGCTAACCATCATATTGAGAAGTCAACACCTTCACTTGGGCATTTATGAATATGAAGTCTGTGTGGCAACCCAAAGTGCCACACTCCAATCACCACACTGGAAAAGTCAGCAAAGCCCTCACTAATTCCTATTCCGCTTATTTCTCGGCTCAATCTCAGCACCCTCCGCTGATCTTGTTCGACGATTCTGTCTTGGACTCATTTCTGTATCTTGAAGATCATTTCTGAAAACAGAAAAAAGGAAACAGTATCTCAGAAAATAATGATCATGATTATTCTACAGCAGCTTCTAGCTGACAAGTGCTTTCACATGCACTATTTCATTTAAACCTCCAAACAGTTCTCTACTCCAATGGCAAGTCTATAATAATTATCATTACTGTTATTATTATACACATTTTGTAACTGAGGAAACAGTGACTAAGCAAAGATTACAGGCCATAAGTGACAGAAGCAGGAACTGAATCCCTTTCTTCTGAATCAAAATCTAGAATAGCTTTATGCTTTGCTTAACATGAAGAAAACTGCAAAAAAAAAAAAAAAAGGTGCTGGTATCCTAACAACAAGACAAAGTCAGTGTCTAACAAAATCATTCTCTTGATCCTGAGAGCTCAGGTTGTAAGGCAGGAAAACAAAATTCCAAAGAAAGATAAGCCCCACCAAAGAGAGGTGGACCACACAAATTTTCTCACTTTTTTTTTTTTTAAAGATTTTATTTTTTTTTATTTATTTGACAGAGAGAGACAGCGAGAGAGGGAACACAAGCAGGGGGAGTGGGAGAGGGAGAAGCAGGCCTCCCACCAAGCAGGGAGCCAGATGTGGGGCTCAATCCCAGGACCCTGGGGGATCACGACCTGAGCCGAAGGCGGACACTTAACAACTGAGCCACCCAGGCACCCCAAATTCTCTCACTTTTGACACAGAACTGGAGAAAGGTGGCTGTTGTACAACCAGATAAGAGGACATGGAGCTAACATTTTAATGAATTCTGAACTATGGGCTAGTACCAAAGGCCCCTCACACAAGGAGAAGCCACATGCACTGGCAAGCTCTTTTCCAGGAGCCTCAAGTCAAGTGCTCATAAGAAAGACTGGAAGCAGGGCGGGGAAACTGAGAAAAGCCCACTTTGATGGCACAGGATAAAGCTGGTGAATGGGGGTGACAGGGGTCAGGCAGAAAGCCCTACATCTTCCCGGGACTATTCTCTCCTATGAAGTGAGAGCTTTCAGCTGCTGAGGGAAACTCACTGGCCCATGGGAATCAGGCAAAGATCTACTATCTCTGGAGGAGGGGCAGAATGCTTGAATGGGAAGTTTGCCTGAATGGGAAGAATAGGAAATCATTTGCAAGAACACTGGCAAAGATTCTTTGCTGCTGGGGAAATGGTAGAAATAAAAACCTCTACCTCTGGAGGAAGGGCAGAAAATCATCTTGGGCTGATGATCTCAAACAATACCAAGCAAAGGCTTGGGCAAGGCATTCTGACTACCGTGGAGGGGGGTCGGGGAGGTGGCAGAGAAAGCTCCACCCCCAAGATCCAGGCATATAGGGCCTGCCCAAGACCACAGCTGGAACAAGACAACATAGAGTCCCAGCAGGCTCCTACCAGTAGCCAAGCACCAAGTAATAGGCAGTAGCAGTAAACTGCTGAAGGAGAGGTCAGGACATGGAGAGATGGCCCTCTGGGATGCAAGCATGCAGACAAGGCTGAAAGGTAAATAAGAACAAAATCATTGAACAAAAGCTTCCCACAACCCAGCCCCCACACTAAGCACAAGGTAAAAGCAGCCCACTGGCTGAGGAACTTGATGCCTCTGATACACTGAAGGTCATGTTAGGAACCAGGAAATTCCAACCTGGGTCAACTCCCCACACTAATGGCCTAAGAGAAGAAGCAGCATGCCCGTTTCCAGGCACAAAGTCTATTTTTACCTTAGTATCTATGGCCCTTCTCAGGATGTCTAGCATCCACACAAAATGTACAATGCACAAAGAAGAAAAACCAAATAAAAAGTCCATTGTCAAGATATAAAGTAACCAAGAGACACAGACAGAATGACCCACATGTTGGAACCATCAGACTAAAACTTTAAATAACTATGATTAATATGGTAAAGTCTCTACGGATAAGCTGGAGGACATACATAGACAGATGGCTCCAGGGGTGGCTCTGAAAGACAAAGATCGGTACTATCCCTCCCTCTCCGTACCTCCCAGAGTCTAAGAGGTTCCTCCCCCACTGTCAGCACTGTTGCTTTCTCCACCTCCACAAAATCGCATGTTCCTTTTTATTAGATGTAACTTTACCTTTTCTTTAATCATTCTCTACTCACACCCAGTCCTTTGACCCAGAAGAGTCGGATGTGAGGGGGTAAGGGCATTTTTATTAAACTTTTCAGAGACTCATTATGTTCCCCACTTTTTTTTTTTAAGATTTTATTTATTTATTTATTTGACAGAGAGAGAGACACAGTGAGAGAGGGAACACAAGCAGAGGGAGTGGGAGAGGGAGAAGCAGGCTTCCCGCGGAGCAGGGAGCCAGATGTGGGGCTCCATCCCAGGACCCTGGGATCATGACCTGAGCCAAAGGCAGACGCTCAACGACTGAGGCTCCCAGGTGCCCTTATTTTCCCCACTTTGATGCATGTGGGCCATAGTAAGAAGACTCAGTGAGTAGTGTACTCTGCCAAGTCGTCACTAGCCTTTTGATTTAGGACAGGAGTTGGCGAACTCTTTGTGTAAAGGACCAGATATTTTGGGCTCTGAGGGCCATACAGTCTGTCACAATGACTGGATTCTGTTGTAATCGTGAAAAGAACCACAGCCAGCAGAGAAACAAATGTGTGTGGCTATGTGCCAATAAAACTTTATTAACAAACAGACAGCAGGCCAGATTTGGCCTATGGGCCATAGTTTGCTGATCCCTGACCTAGAACCATATCAGTCCAGCAAGTGAATCCAACAACCTGAATCAGAATTAAGTGTGAATCCTCTAAGACCCCTCTTGGCCAAGCTGCTACCCAGAGGGTGTACCAATCTGGCCAGTATACGGTTGCTGTTAGGAGAAAGAAACAAGCATCATGCCCAGGAATAATTGAGAAGGAACCCTGAGTTTCTGAAATAGGTAAATATATAACCATAAAACCCCTTCTGTACTAATCATTACCCAGAAAGTGGCCAAAAGGAGAGGATTCCGTTCTGGGGACAGCAGCGTTCAGTGACCAAACTTCCTTACTAAGGTATGTGGACCAGAAGATGAGGGAGTTGATAATTTTAAAGGAGGCCATTCCAACATTCAATAATATTAGATGCCTGTAGATTGTAGGGAGGATAAAAAGTCCAGTGAATCCCTTGACCATCAGCCCATTATTGATTCCAGTCATTCCCTTCAAAGAATGTGCCCTTATTATTGATATGTACATGAGTGACCCAGATGGTTCACTCAGCACCCTTCAGGTTTGCAGCCTCAAAGCAGGGTATCTGCCAATCTGTGGCCTTCATGACCACTTTGATGACCTCTTTAATCTTAATTACCTCTTTAAAGGTTCCATCTCCAAATATAGTCACATTGGAGGTTAGGGCTTCAGCTTATGAATTTTAGAGGGACACAATTCAGTCCATAAGAGCAGTTCAGTCCATGGATCAGGCCATTCAGTTTGACAAGAACCTAGTAGCAAGCAAACAGCTATTTTTCAAAAGGAGTGTAACTGGTAGCTATGCTAGGCTGGACACAAGTCCAAAATCCCAAAGGATGCCTCTAGGTGGAGGCTGCCTCCCTTTCTCAGAGACTCCAATCAGGAAAATCATTAGTCTTAAGACTTGTAGCTCTAAGGGGTCATTAGGGTTGTGGGACCTCAAGGGTATTAGCACTTCTCTATGTGTGGCTCTTCCCTATCAGAGAATTTGCTCTGGCACTTATTGGACGTGAAATTAGGAGTACATAACACATCAACTCCTAAACACATCCAAATTTAAAAACAATAGTACAATGAATTAGCCCAAAGGGCCCCATCTACAAGGTCACATTAGCTTCCCTTCCCCATTGTGAACCTTACCCAAACCCCATAAAGTCAATTCAGGTGCTTCCTTTCCCCACAGGACAGGGTAGGATGGTGAATCTGGTACCTATATCCAACAGAACCATAAAATCCCTTCCCAAAGTTCAGAAGCACATCCAGACTGGTAGATAGCCTTTCATCTCCTTTAGGGACAGGGGAACCTCAACTCCACTTCTTCTTCTTTTTTTAAAGATTTATTTATTATTTGAGAGAGAGAACGGGGGGGAGAGGGGTAGAGGGAGAGGGAGCAAGAATCCCAAAGTGGACCCAATGCTAAGCACAGGGACCGACATGGGGCTTGATCTCATGACCCTGAGATCACAACCTGAGCTGAAACCAAGAGTCAGTTGCTCAACTGAGCGAGACACCCAAGCACCCCTCAGCTCCAATTCTAATCAACAAAACCAGAATAGCCAAAACAATTCTAAAAAAGAAAAATTTACTGACAACACCAAATGCTGGTGAGGATGTAGAGCAAGAAAAATTCTCATTCACTGCCAGTGGGAATGCAAAATGGCACAACCACTCGAACAAAGTTTGGCAGTTTCTTACAAAATTAAATATAGTCTGACCATACAATCCAGCAATTGTACTCCTTGGTACTTCCCCAAGGGCACTGAAAACTTATTTCCACACAAAATCCTGCACTTTGTTTTTAATTAGAATATTTTATATATTGTATATATATCACTTTAATCATAATTGCCAAAACTTGGAAGCAACCAAGATGTCCTTCAGTAGGTGAATGGATAAATGAACTGTAATACTCCAGACAATGGAATATTATTCAGCACTAAAAAGAAATGAGCTATCAAACCTCAAAAAGACATGGGGCAATCTTAAATGAATTTTACTAAGTGAAAGGAGCCAATTTGAAAAGGCTACATACTGTAGGATTCCAACTAAACGACATTCTAGAAAAAATAAAACTATAAAGACAGAAAAAAATCAGTGGTTGTCAGGAACTTGGAGAGAAGGAGAGATGAACAGGTGGAACATAAAGGATTTTTAAGGCAGGGAAACTATTCTGTATACTATAATGGTGGATACATGTCATTATACATTTGTTAAGACCCATACACTATAAAATACAAAGAATGAACTCTGATGTAAACTGGAAAAAGAAAGTTAGAGGCCTCATACTAGCTGATTTCATGACATTATAAAGCTGCAGTAATGAAGACAGTGTGTGTTACTGGTGAAAAGACAAACATATAGATCAATAGAGCAAAACAGTGATTCCTGAAATAGACCCACACATATATATCCAATTGATTTTTGATTAAGGTACCAAAGTTATTAAATGGAGAAAGGATAGTTTCTTCAATAAATAAAGCTGGAACAAATGGAGACCCACATGTAAAAGAGAAAAATTGAATTTCAATCCATACTGTGCACCATTTATAAAAATCAACTTGAAATAGATTATAGACTTAAATGTAAACCCTAAAACTTCTAGAATGTAACAGAACACCATTGGGTTAGGTAAAGATTTCCTAGGTAGGACACAAAAAAGCACCATATGTAAAAGAAAAGAAAAAATTGATAAATTAGATTTCATCAAAATTTAAAACTGCTCTTTGAAAATCACTATCAAGAAAATGAAAAGGCAAGCCATAAAGTGGAAGAAAATATTTGCAAAACACGTTTCTGATAAAGAACTCATAAATCTCAAAAGTAAAAAACCACCCAATTTACTAAATGGGCAGAAAATTTGAGGAAGCACTTCATCAAAAGACATAGGGATGGCAAATATGCATGTGAAAGAAGTTCAACATCATCAATCCTTAGGGAAACGCAAATTAAAATGACAAAAAAAAAATACTACTATAACTCTATTAAAATGGCTTTAAAAATAAAGAGCATAACCAAGTACTGGCCAAGATATGGAGCAACTAGAACTCTCATACATTGCTGGTAGAATACAGCTGGGCAGTTTCTTATCAATTGAACATACACTTACCATATGATGCCATTCCTAGGTATTTACCAAAGAGAAATGAAAACTTATGTCCACACACAATACTGTACTCAAATCATTCCAGCAGTTTTATTCGTAATCCCCCAAATCTGGAAACAACCCAAATATGCCCATCAGCTGTTGAATGGGTAAACAAGATGTGTTGCAAAAGAATTCTCATGGGGTTAAGATGAAATTCAGATTAACAGAGAAAATTATTCTTTTCTGATTTTATAAGAATATTAGAGAAAGCTATTTCCTAAAATTTCCTCTTTAAGGCACTATGAGATAAAGAGTTAAAACAATTCGTAAGTGAAATCCTTATCCATTCACAGGTTCTTGAAGCCACAGGAGCTGTGTCACTAACAGCTAGAATCCATTAATGAGTGTATTCAGATCTAATAAACACTGACTGACATATTCACTCACTCATATACTTACTGAATGCCCATTATGGGCCACCCAGGCACTATGCTACACACATGAAGATTCAAGGTCCAATGCACATGCTCTCTAGAAAGGCAATCAAGTGGTAAGTGCAGAGTGCTGCAGGAGCAGACTCAGGGGCTTCTGAATGGAATGGTGGAGAAAGGAATGACAATTCCCATCTAGATGAGGAAAAGGGAAAAGGCAACTGAGGCAGAAGCAAAGGCACCGAAGCAAGGTAACAGGACTCTCTGAGGTGACCATGAGTAGTTCAGCTTAGCTGAAACAAGGAGTTGTGGGGTGCAGAGGGGATGCACGCATATGAAATTCCACGAGCCAGTAGGTAGGCTGGGGCCATGACAGTAAGAGCCTTGGATGCTGGCGAGTCCCTGAAGGAATTTAAAGTCCAACAGGAAGAACAAAGTGTGTTTCATATCTCACCAGCCGAATGAACTGTAACGACCAGAGGCAGCGAGGCATGGACGGCTGTTGCAGCAAAGCTAGAGAGAAGAGCAAAGGGCCTGTAGCCAGCCGTGGCACAAAGGGCTGACGGAGATATCACAGAGGGCCTGCGCAAGGTGGGGGCCCCAGAAGCAGCATTAGCAACACTTGGGACCGTGTTAAAAATGCAAACTATTAGGCCCCACCCCAAACCTACTGAATCACTCTTCGAATTGGGTAAAGCCCAATAATCTGTGCTTTAACAAGTCCTTCAGATGTCTGTGATGCATATGTAGGTCTTACCTATATGAGTTTTGCAGCTGACTGAATATGACAGGTCAGGGCAAGTGAGAAGTTGAAAATGATTCCTAGGTGTCTGGCTTGAACAGTGGGGCAGACTACCATACTCCACTCACTGAGAGAGGGGACAGCAGAGGGCCAGCAGCTCTGGAGAGAAGGGACTTAGACTCTCTGGGGCAGACAGATTTTCCTCACATTTTATATATTAAACAAATTGAAACCTAAAATTGTAAAATGATATACCAGGACCATTTCTCTTACTGTTTTCATCCTGTTTGATGTAAATATATTTTATAGATCAAAACAGTAAGATGAACCAGTATTTACAGACATAAGAACCCAAGGTCAGTCTGTAGAAAATAGTTTTTGGTTTTTTGCTGCTTACGAAAATATTGTTTTATATGGAGCACTATGTTGCTAACAGAACCTCTCAATCATTTATGGAATTAAGAGAAAGAGAATTGGAACTGAAATAGTATGTTCTAGGACGACCATCTCAAAGATGCCACTTGTGGTACCACAAAACATGCCTCTAAGCTTAAGATATAGAACTGCCCATTTTTGTTTAAAAGTAAGGCTATGGAGGCTTTTCCTGATTCTGCCTCTAAAGCTACATTATGGCATAAGCTTGTTTGAACTGTTCTATGCTCAGCTGAAGTCAGGAGGCCTGGATTCTGATCTTGGCAGTGCCACTAACTAGCTGTGGACCTTGACGTGGTCAATTTACCACTCTGGAGTCCAGCTTCCTTCTCTATAACGTGAAGGGATTAGATGAGATGAACACTTAGATCCTTCTAGCTGTAACATTCATTATCTATGAGGATCAATCGATGCGCTTGGTCTTCTAAGTGCTTTCTTATGACTTTTGGAGGCCATCGTTACCGAGAATGGGCTTGGGTGCAAGAACTCTGGCTACAATGTGTCATAGCCATTGGTGTCAGGCTTAGTTCAGCATGAACAGGATGGTTCCTGGTACAAGAGGAAATAGTTAGCTAAGCAGTGGCCTTCTTTCCCAAAATGCAAAGTTAAATAATGCTTAGGTGAGAGTAATGTAGCCAAAATCTCAAACTTTCATAAAACATTACTGTTTGAACCACCAAATATCTCATTGGCCTGATAAACCTCCTCATAATGCTTTCCCTGGATACAGCACACTTCCCGTTCTCCCAGTGATTCAGCTATGAAACTACAAAATCTCAGCACAGTGAACTTCTCCTTCTTTGTAAAGACAGTATACAGCTTAATGGTCCAAAGGGCTGACTTTTGGCACACTGGTTACAATCTTAGCTCCATCACTTACCACTTATTGCTGAGTGACCTTGGGATGGAAATTTACCTCTTCAAGCCTCAAAGAGGCTTAAAAAAGGTGAAGAGGTCAACAGTATCAAATCTGCTAAATCAATGAAGGTTTTGACTATGGATTTAGCAACATGGAGTTCTTTGATGACCTTAGTGAAAATGATTTCAGATGAATGATGGAACTGGCTGAGAATGTGGAAGAGTAAGTGGAGATAAGGAAGTGGAAAATGCAGGTAGAGACCATCCATTAAGAAAGGAAGGAAAGATACAACAGTGGCTGTAGGATGAGATGGAGTGAGAGGAGAGACTGAATGAGTTGTTATTTGTTGCTTGGCTGGTTTTAAGATAGAAAGATTTAAGCAGGCTGAAAACCCAATGACAAAGATACAGCTGAGAGGGAGAGGCTGCCAGACAAAGAAGGTTCCGGACAAATGGGTAGGAATGAGGGAGGAGGAATTAGCCTCTGATAAGACATCCCTTTATTATAAAAGGAGGCAATTATAAAATGAGGAATAAAATATGTACCCATATAGGCACATTTATACATTTGGTGTTGGAAAGATGAGGACTCCCACATAATGGCTTCTATTTTCTCTACAAAGGAAGAGAAAAGGTCTCCAGCTGGGGGTGCAGCCACTGGAAAGATGTGAGGTTTCAAATAATCCTTGTGAAGAACCAGACAAAGAAATGACCACAGAAACAGTAAAACTTCTAGGCAGTTTGGAGGGCCACTGAAGTGTAATCACAAAATTACAGTGGAACAAAGCTTCCCCATTGTACTGCAGATCACTCCTGCAGGTGGAGATTGAGAATGTAATATTCTCTGGCATTGTTCTTTCCTCCTTACCTACCAGTAGGACCTGGAATAGGTCCCCTCCACCACTCTAATTTCCCAGCAGATTCCTAAATGCTAGCTGGAGAAGGAATCAAACTGCATTTATTCTACACTAAACACTTTTGACTGGGAACATCTAGGAAAGGACTCAAAGTTTTATAAACACCCTGAGCCAGTGCTTACGGCTAAACTGTTAATTTCTCACTGGAACAATCTGTCTTTAGAAAAACAACTTCTGACAAGTAATCAGAGTTATTACAGTGGGATTCCCTTTCTAAGCAAAAATGTATAGAAACAAACAAGTAGTAAACTGGAAATCTTTACCTTAATGTGTGTGAATTATTACCTTCTTAAATCAGAAAGCACAAATATTCTTTTGTTTGAAAATCAACTGCATGGAATTATAATTTCTCAAAGTAGACACTTATTTCTTGATGATGAGAACTCACCTATGTGATGCTTCCCAGGCTTCCTCTTCTTCTAAAAGATCTCTTATGATGTCTGAACTGGAACTAAAAGGACATGTACATCAATATTGTCAGACAATAAAAAGACCATATGGTTCCATTTATATGAAATTCTAGAAAATGCAAACTAATCTCTAGTGACAGAAAGCAAACGAACAGACCAGTGATTACCTGCAGGGGCAGGGGGTGGGCAAGGAGTGATTACAAAGTGGCACAAGGAAACTGTGGGAGTGGATACTTTCATCATCTTGATTGTGAAGATGATTTCACAGCTGTATACATGTATCAAAACTCATCAAACCGTGTGTTTTAAATATTTGCAGTTTATTATACATCAATTTCAATAAAGGTGTTAAAAAACTTAATAAACCAGCAATAATAAATAAAAAATCATTAAAGCTTAAATAAATCTGTCAACATAAAACCTGCATTCAAATACAATATAGTCGCAAGCCTTTTTAATCTCCCATGGCAACCAAAGATCAAACTGTGTTTTAAAAACTGCACTCTAGTAATAAGATTCACAAAGAGACATTAAGTTCCTAAGTGGCTTTTAGTCCCTTTGTAGCCAAAGTAAAGTAAAATTTAATTAATCTGAACTGTGCTAATAATGGAATTCGTTAAAATGCAACCTGGCTTAAAGTGTTGCATAATCTTTGGTCTATCTGCGCAGGGTACAGGGTAAAATAAGGTTATAGAGGGCATATATTATTTCTTTAAAAGAAAAAAGTGTTCCAAGGCTTTTAGCATCTTGTTCTTACCCAAATAAATTCTTACTAAATAAATGAAAAGAAAAAAAAGATGTACATCAATAGCAAAAAAGCATTTCTTTAGGCATCCAAGACAAAGAATGTGAAGGGCATTACATGAGACAACTCAGAAATAGGAGTCACTACGCCAGGGTGGAGAAGGCTAAAACAATGGAATAACTTTCTCCTGGACGAGAAACAACAGGATTGGATATGTCTGTGTCAATCATCTTCTAATGATACTCAGATAACGAAAGTCTAAAAATTATGGAGACATAAAGTGCCAATGAATCATTCTCAACAGTTACTGACAAATGACTTTGAAGCCATGTTTGCCTGTGGTGCATGAAAACAAGGCAACAACCATCAATCAGTACTGCTCTGTGCCAAATATTGTTCTCAAGGGGTACTGCCCAAATCCCAAGCCTCTCAAGGAGCTACATGCAGGAGCCCTTCTGACTATGGTTCACATGTATAATGGCCTGTGTGGGGCGATTCCATGTAGTGACCCTCCAATATAGCTAGCTCAGTGGTTCGCAGGCATTTCAGGATAAGGATCCTCATACATTTAGTATTGGTGGCTTGAGAAAATACATAATAACAAAGTATTATAAACTTAGTAATACTTTTAGTCTATATTTTATTCATTACAGTGGCACATGCTGGACAGTGAAAAAACAGTAGTACCTGCATTTGTGAGACACTCTTATTATGTCTAAAGAGAATTCTTTTTTTTTTTTTTAGATTTTATTTATTTGAAAGAGAGAGAGCGAGCATGGGGCGGAGGGCAGGGGGGCGGTCAGAGGGAGAAGCAGGCTCCCCGCCAAGCAGGGAGCCCGACCCAGGACTCGATCTTGGGACTCTGGGATTACGACCTGAGCCGAAGGCAGACGCTTAATAGCTGAGCCTCCCAGGCGCCCCAAAACTGAAGTTGTTTTAATGTAACTTTTTTTTCTCTTCTCTCTCCTGTCTGATACCATCACCCACTCTTCTTTACCTGGACAGAGCTAAGGCAATGTTTCTCAACCCTTTTCCTTATCGTTCCCCACCTAAGGAGTTTTTTAGACTTTTTCTTTTTTCATAATCACCCTTCCATGAGATTTTAATACTGAAATATAATGTGTACCTGTTTATATATTGTATGTGTCTGTGTATATATATGCTTTATACACAGAATAGGTTGGTTTTTTGTTTATGTGTGTGTGTGTGTGTTTTGGTCATCCAGCCTCCTCGCTGCCAAGAACCAAGTTCCATCCACTAGGGAGCTCCTATCAAGAACCCATGAGCTAAGGGAATGGGGGTTAAAGGGTGGTCATGCAGCTCTGGGTCCTGGTAGGTGTCACAGGGCTAGAAGAAATAAAGTGTGCTTTTTGCCAACACCCCCAACACACACATACAATTTTTTTTTTTTTTTTAAACAGGAAGGTTACAAAGCATCCCTCCTGTTCTAGCTAAGTAAGCAGGAGATAGCTAGGCCTGTCAACTAACCTAGTAGTCTTGTGGTCAATTTACCTAGGGGCTTTCAAATCACCAGTAGAAATCACTGATTTGTTAAAGGAAAATATTTGCGGTACATTAGTGACATAAACCTAAGCAGTTTTTGCTACACTACCTCAGTGAAAACAGATGGTAGAGGAGGTTCACAAAAAACACTTCTCAAAAATGGTCTGCAATCTCCTCTTGCTCTGTGACTTCAATACCCCTGACCAGACATGCTGCCCAGCTCCCGACTTCCTCAGTTCTCGCCACCTTCCCTTCCACACCAGCTTAGTCACTGACCTGAATGACATACACTTTGGAAGGTCTGAACTTTACCTACAGTGATGTTTCAGGATTATCTGCTATATCTGCTACTCCAATTCTAGTCATCACTAAGAAACTGAAAGTTGGGGTGCCTGGATGGCTCAGTCAGTTGAGCCTCATATTCTTGATTTCAGCTAAGGTCATGATCTCAGAGTTATGAGATCAAGCCCCAGATCAGCTTCCATGCCAGGTGTGGCACCTGCTTAAGATTCTCTCTCTCCCTCTTCCTCTGTCCCTCACCCCCTGCCCCCAAAAAACAACTAAGAGTTGACGCTAGTACAATTAAAACTGCAGAGAGACTTGTTGGTTCCTTTTCAAAGTAATGCATTCACCATATTCTATTTAAAAACCGCCTTCCCAAAATTATACATACAGTTTCACAAAAGGGATTTTACAAACAGACAACTGGGCACAACAGTCAGTATTACTAAAAATAACACCAACGGAGCTCTTCCTTGTGGATAGAAGTAATTAATATTTTTGAAGTCTTAGTCATTTTACTATGCCTTGGAGATCAAAAATTCCTTTCATATACTTTCAAGACATCTAAAAAATCCTCCACAGGAGAAAATAAATTGCTCACTCTGGTATACATGGGGTCAGAACATGTACAAGCCTACACAGCTATAGCTTTTCATTCTCAGACAAAAACTTTGTCAGAGTAAATTTGAGCTCCTCTATTATTTGGGTTTGAACATTCTGGTAGACTATGTTTTAAGAAGCTGGATGAATATGAGGTCAGGTACATGAAAGTCACAGCTCTCTATATAAGGGTGTTTAAACTGTGCTCTCTGATGTTACCATTAGTCCAGGCTAGAGCAGAAATTATTCTATAGATTAAATACACATGAGAAGGACTCACGGACAAAAATATTAATCTTGAATTCTATGGAATTCCCAACCTCTGTTCAGGAAGATTCTAGTAGATCTATTTAGAACACCCACACTTAATTTTCATACCATTTAACCTTTATTTTCAGCTCAAACTTTCAGAAGTGTAAGCTAAACTGTTTTTGGTTTGTTGGGCTTGGGCCTAATTGGTCTTTCTATAATGTTTTACTCTTGTTATTCTCTCACCAAAAGCAGTAGCACAACATTTTAACAGGCAAAGGAAAACACTTTTTGCATATTTCTTTTGCAGTATCTTATTTCATCTTACTAGTCAAGATTTTACCACGAAAGCTGAAAAGATGCCTAACACCTCTCACAATGGTATGACTGATAAGACTACCCAGAGGATAAGAAATCACAGATTTTAGCGTCAAACAGAGTCGAGTTTCAGGGCTGTTTCTGTCGCTTAATATGTAATACTGGGCAATTACTTAGTCTTTCCAAGTCTTAATATTCTCACGGGTAAGGTCAGGATGGTAACACATGCAGTTCATGGGGATATTTTAAAGATTAATCAATATAACATACAGAATGGTTAGCATAGAGCTTAGCACATAGTAAGTGTTCAATAAGTAATGCTTCCATTTTCAATAACCAATCTGGGTCTGAATTACATGAATAACTGCCTCAGCACTATGCTTCCATTTGAGCTAGGAACCCTGATCACTATGTGCTCTATTTTAATCTCTGATTTCCACTGTTTCTATGACACCAGAGTGCAAATTCATCAAAACTTGTTATTTATTCAGCATGGCAGGTACACAAGGTACCGTGGGGCAGAAAAAATGCAGCATCTGCTATAAAAAACCCTGTGGATTAAAGATTACTTATAAGTGGGAGTTTTCTATTATCTAATAGTTATTCCACCACCCTCCCCCACAAGCCCAACTCTTCTCATAATTATGGCATTAACCTGAGAGTGCTTGAGTATATCAAACCCAAAAACAAAAACAAAAACTCCTTAAGTATAGACCACTGGAGGACTGATGGAGGGCACACAGTGCCACCAGACAATGGTATTTAACTAAATGCTGCCGGCTCCCATGAATCCTTCCTCAAACCCTTCTTTTTAGTAATTTGTTCTTATTCTACGGGGTAAGTAGCAGCTTATATGCCTAATATGTTAGCAGCAGGCTAACAGTAAAATGTTAGAATAGTAAACATCCTATGTTCAAACAAGAAATCATTCAATGTTGACCATGACAAAAAAAACCCATTTTTTGAGCAACTACTTCTACAAACCACTGTAATAATTCACCAAATGTGCATTAGCTTTAATTCATATAAGCAGCCTAGGTTTTATCTCCACAGATGGACAAAGGATCAGAGACATTAAAGTAATTAAAAAAACAAAACAAAACAGGGATATGAATGCAAAGCTCATCTTCTTTTTACCACACTTAGTTGCAGAATGAAAAATGCTATTAATCTACAAGAGTTAAAAAATACTTCCTCCTATACACTCATCAATAAGGTTTATCAGACAACCATCAACAAGGCTCATGGATAAAGCAGAGCTAAGAGTTTCACTGCTCTCCATTACATCTAGAAAAATATAAAATGAAGCTAGCTTCAGATACAAGAATAAGAATTTTTTATCAA